CGCCCCGAGCCACGGCCCTGGCCCTGGCAGCGCGCAGGGCCCGCCTCCGCTTGCTCCCCAGGCGCAGAGCTGCGGTCGGTGGCAGCTGCTCCGGGTTGTGCGCCCAGAACCCGGCCGTCATTTAAAGTGCTTTTGTTGCTGCCGTTTGCCTCGGTGACGACGCTGCCGCCCAGCCCTGGTCCTTGGGGGGCGATGGAGCTTCCTGCTTCTGCGGGTGGCGACCTGACACCGAGGGCAGGAGCAGGACAGGACAACCACCAGCACCGGCCTTAGCCGGACCTTCCCAGTGAAACTCCTGCTCCCAGGCTGCTCCTTACCGCGCTGCTTTTGCCACTTGCCGCTCCAGAGCGGAGCTGTCCCCTGGGATGCGCCCATGGCTCAGCCATTTCTGTCTGGGCAAACTCCAGCAGCTTGCTTAAATACCAGAGAAAAGTTTAAACGAAACTGCTGGAGTTTGCACAAAAGCAGCTGCGGCATGCGCATTTTCCTCACTCCATGACAGAGATCAAGCACAGATTGATTCCCATAACGGGGAAGACAAGAAAGGTTTAGACCCCCTTACTGGGACCATCTCCGTTAGCTGTTCTGGTTTGCCACCGGAAGATTTGCCCAGTAGAAAAACACGGTCATTTTCTGCAGGACTTGCAGGTGTCAGGCAGCTGCTGTGAGTCATGGGAGCCCTGGGCAAGCGGGCCACACACACCAGCTGCTTTGAATGGGTTTCCCACGTCAGACCCTGCATGCTCCTGCACTATGTGATTGGCTCCCCTCTTCTCTGCCCCCATCCACCGCAGTAGCAAACATCAGGCCAAGGAGAAGGAAGAACCCCAAAAACACGTTGGAAAAAACAAAACTGTATGGCACAGAATGGACTCTAGGTGAACTCCAATTCCCCAGGAGATTATCTGTATGCAAAAATCAGTCTGCACATTGAGCAGCAGCACCACCAGCTTTTCAGGTTTAAACTGTAAAACAGTGCAAAACCCCCTACTCCTTTGCTATGAGCCTTTTCCCATTGAAAAATAAAAAGAGGGATTAATAAGAAAGGAGAGTTTACAGATTTGAGCAAAGGATCTTATTACTTCAGTTGCTTTAAGCGATCAGTACTGAAAAATGTCTAAACAATTGTAAATCAGCTAGAGACTTCAAAATCTATTAATGAGATACAAAGGACTGTTCACACCACCTAGGGCCTTTTTTCCACTATGAAACATTAATCTTTTTCAATCTGTTAGCAGAGGAAATTTAGCAGGGTTGAAAAGTCCTCCTAATACTCACTGAGTCAAACTCATGATCACACAACTTCTGAGCACTTCTCTGCATAGGGCTCTATCTACTCCTTTGCCATAAAATCCTGGGGCAAAAGAGTCACAATAAGATCCTTTGCTTTAGTACTCAAAAGAGGTTTATAATTAAAAAAATATATTTTATTCATAATGATCAAATCTTATAAATTTTAAATACGCAATAACATAAAAGTTCCAGTCACCAGATTTTTAGTATACTCTTGATGACTTACAGAACATGAGTAAGTGCTTCCTGAAGCCTGTTTTCAAAATTAACTTAAATGATTTACCAACTTAAAGACTTGATACACCACTGAATATTAGTATTTTGAAAAATCAGCTTTTTCAATACAGAAAAATAGAGATTCAAAACCACAGTTGTAGCCAAACAAGCCCTTTCATTTCTCATTTTAAATGGACTGCATGTTTTTCTTTCAAAAATGTTCCTGTTCAGGCCCACACAGAACTGAAATGCTGTGTGCTGAATTTCAACATTGTGGGTGCACAGGTTGAAAACAGACTTAAAAAACAAGCTTTGTTCCCAAAATCTTTGCTTTTGGAATAAAAGGAAGCTGAACTATTAGAAGATGAAGCTTCTCTTTTTCCATTTGCAATGCCCTTTTTCACAAGGCTCAATAAAACCAAAAGATAAAATGCTAATAAAAAAAATTGTTACTATCAATGTGAATACAGCTTGCTATATTAAGAAGTTTCCCTATAACCTCTGAAATGTGTGCGTAGCAGTATCTGCAACAGATGTGCCACATCAGCACTGTCAGTCCCATGAAGCTTTCCACGTTTGTCTTGGCTTCTCATATAATCTATTCTATAAAACAGATCATCTGCTGACAATCACTGTCAGCAGTGGGTCCCTTCCGACGCTGTTCTCATTAACTAGAAGTGAAAGGGTTTAATTTCCAGCACAGAAAGACAATCATTTTCAGCACTGTTGGAAAAAGTATGATAGATCATATCTCACCATTTCTTTATTCTCTGTCTGTAGCAATTTTTCCCAAGTTCTTTGTCCACAAGCAGCCAAAAAGTGGTTGATGTAGCAGATGGGAATACCACTATTAACCGTCTCTGTCAACAACACATCATTTTAATAACTTACAGAAAGTTCACCTTGCTGTGCCTAGCTGTACTTGTTCTTTCCCATCACTACAGTTACAACAATAACCCCACTTTAAAACTTATTTTTTAATTGCTCATTCTGGAGCTTTTTACAATTTCATCCAAAATATCTCATGCTGGCTACTGTCAGTGATAAATAGATAGTTCAATTGCAGTTCTCACATTATGAATATTACCAGCATCATTCCAACAATATAATGCAATGGGATATTCAGATGTCTTCATGAACACAATGAGGAGTACACTAATGAAAACAAGTCATCAATTCTTACTCGTATGTATAAAGATCCTTTGTAATGGTTTGTTGATTTAGCCAACATTCATTTTGTTAAAATAGCAGATGTCAGTCAAACGCCTCAAAGGAGCAAATGAAAGAAACAATAAATAGCCAAGGCAGCTGAATTATGCTTGGTATGTTAATTCATCTCTGTGCTGCATCTTATGTATTCAGACATCTGATGAAACAAAAGGATTAGCACACTACAGCAGCTGGACAAAATAGGCAAAAAGAAATCAAAGCTAAGTGAAGTCTAATACAGTGTGTCCCGTAACATCAGCAGGGCTCTGGAATTATACACTATGCAGAGCTATCTTTAAACCTGGGCCCCCTGTGTCTCCCCTGTCAGATTCAGTGCTTTAGCACGTGAGTTATTAGCATGCAAGAATGAGGTATTTAAAATGCTACTGTTACTGAATGTAACAATGGAAAAACAGGTATATTTTGCTATAATTTTTATAATTTCCTTGGCAACCTTGCCTATAGCTTTTCTTTCTTGCATATATTCATACAAAGACCGACTTTACACAGGGTGTCCCATTTGCCAATGACAGTAATGCAACAGTAACACAAGCCATGGTATTAACAGTAGTCAGTGTTGAAACAAGTCTTTAGGAAGCAATGATACTTCTTTACAAGGCAACAAAAACACTGTAGAGAGAGGTGAATGGAAGCAACTTTTATCACTTCACTGCTGTTGTGAGGACCCATAACACAATTACACATATGCTCACATGCTAACACGCTATCTCAGGGAAATCTTAAACTGCAGAAATAATAATTTTAAATAATAATTTTTAAAAATATTAAGTGGATTGTGCTTTGTAGCTGTTATCAAGGCAAGCATGGTACAACGATATTTAAAACTCCCTTTTGACATATAAAATGATGATGAAAATTATATGTTGAATTTTGTTGAAATTATATGTTGAATGTTGAATTGCATTGCAAGGCACTTGTTTCAAGGACAGGAAGCTAAATAACAAATATTTTATTATTTTGTACTATTTAAGAGGCTAAGTCATTAGGAAATTTTGATTCATATTATCATATCTGAACATATGTTAGCAAAGATTTTTTTATTTTATGAGAATTCACTTTGCAATGAAAGTGGCAGGTGCCTTAGTGTGACATTCTACTCCAAATGGCTTTTGGAATGGAATATTTGTGGAGTAATTTCCAAATAAACCAGTTGTTTTACATATCACCAACAGAAGCATTTCCCTTGCCCAGATTATCACTCAGCTCAACGAACTGACACAGTGTCCTCTAGTTCCTGCAACAGCACAACTCCCCGGTGCACTTTACACAAAGAGATTTTAAAGGTCGTGCAAAATACAGTGTAGATTTCACTGAATTTTACTGTTTTATAACAATAGTTCCTCCTGGAATTTATGGGAATTTATTTAAGAATTTCCCTATGTTTTGGAATTTAAATTAAGTCATTTTAATTACCAAATGGATATTTTACACAAAGACTACAAACCCCTGAAAAATACCAAGCAACCTTTTTCTGTTAAGGTTTGGGGGATGGCAGTGTATGACAGCTAAACAGACAACACAAGTCCCAGCTACCGGACTCCCAGAAGTCCAAGGGCAAGAAGAGGTACTGACATGTTTAGTCAGCAGAGGCGTAACAGCTGCTATCACAGTCCAGTTTCCATACAACTTTTTTTAGCCCCTGGCCACGATCACAGACTGATAGAACTCAATTAGACTCCAGCTATATGACTACAGAATGAGCAAGGCAGTTGCAAAACTAGGTATTGAATTTGTTCCAACTTTTCCCCAGAAGGCCTGTGGGAAGAATGAAAAAACACAGAATACAACATACATCCTTAAAAGGCGACCTACCTTGATTGCTTCTGCTAGTGGGAAACCCATCCAGAGATGAAAAGGTCACACAGCTCAAAGAGGAAGCAACTAGAAAGGATTTCTCCACATTGATCTCTTCTGAAACACTCCCTTATCCATCAAGCTTGAAATAGTCCTAGTTAGCTGAGCTCCATAGTACAGTATTTGGCCCATCTCCATGCTTCCCCAAGCATGAAAATAAGCACTGAAGTAAGTTTGGTGTGAAGTTACTAACGGTTGTTGTGAACATGCAAAAAGTGGAAAAGGAATTACAGGATTACGTATGTCACTGTACGTTTGATTGTGAAGGAGCCTCTAAGGCAAGGTGTTTTATTCTGCTTTGTAGATTCATCTATTTAATAAATATTATAGGTATTCTAGATGCCACTTTTAAAATTTTTTGGGGGGGGGGGAACGAATGCCTTCAGAACAGTAAACTTGACTAATGTGGGAAAATAAAATACTAATTATGCAGCTCAGCACATTTAGAACTTGCCTATATATAAACACTGCGTTGATTTAACTCAATCACTTTATTTAACTGATACAATTCATGCATGGACAGAGTAGGTAGGTAGGTAGGTAGAAAGTCACTGCAATTATCTAATCTGAGGCACGTCTTAATTCTCCTCCACTGCTGGCTATTAGGTCTCACAAACCACAATGTTTTAAGTCTTACCCCTAGTTTCTATACGACTTCACACCAAAAACACCTCCCATTTTTTCCTTGTAAGTCTTAAAATACCTATATGATGTATTCATTTTACTCAGAGTACCAGAAATCTTTGTTTTTCAGTGAGAGAGGTGGAGCCTGTAGATTATTTTGGAAAAAGGTCAATCATTTTGAAAAGACCTCTGAAAATAACCTCTGAATTGCATTACACGCACTGAGTAAATCATTGTTTTAACTCCTCAGCAGGTGGCAGCACAAAGTTATTTACAATGTCAAATTAATTCTGTACTAAGTAATTTGTTCTTAAATTTGCAAGAAAAAGTCCTAGTGTAAGATTATACCAGACAGAAGAGTTGATTTAAAAAAAAAAAAAAAATCAAGCTATCTTTTTATTCCAGTTCTTCAGGATGACTTCAGCTGCATCTAGTGTGCTGTCTTTCTGCAAAACAAGGAGTACTACTATTACTGTAAGTAAAGAGTTCTTGAAAACAGAGTAGCAGTCATAATTATAACATCTGAAATCAATATTTGGCAGTTTCGTTCGCATCATGTAAATATCCCAAACAGTCAGTTCTCCATTAACATTTATAGCTACAAATCTAGACAACACCAAGAATTCAATGTTAATACCCTGCAAATATTTTTCAGGTGTATTTGCTAAAAATAGAGCATATTTTTCTCAATATTTACATTATCAAATTTAATGAAAGTGGATACTTTTTACATAAATGCCTGGCATTTATGCATTAATGTTCTTGACCGCTCTATATTAGAAGCATGCTAGTCATAGTTTGCTAATCTTTACAATTAGGATTTTTAAATTTCCATGCAACCAAGCTATGCTGTGAACTACTTAAACATAATCCCTCTAAATATGGGTAATCCATCCACTGGCCAGTTCTGTGGCTTGGCTACAGCCGGTTAGTCACACGAGTAGCCTTTACCTTGGCACAATTAGCGTTCTTCATCCTGAGCAAGCCACGTTCACAACGAGCAAGTTTCATCCTGGTTGTTAGTGGCTCAGTTTATATCATAGTCTTTATACCTCATCTTAAGAACTAAGTAACACAAGCAGAAACTCCCTTTCATCAGTGGTTCAAGCTAAGGCTCTGATCTGTACATGGAACAGTTAAGGGGTTGGCATATGTGCCATTATGCCGATTCTATGACAGAACAGTAAGACTAAGATTTTAGGGAAGTATGTCTACCAAAGTTTATGTAGCTGCCTCCAACGTTTTTCAGTATTTTCAAAAACAGACCCAGCAAGTGGGTGTAACAGGAGGAAGAAGAATATGGGAAGAGGAGGTGCTCACAAAATTACAAGAGTCTGCCAGTTTACAATTTGTCAATTCTGCCTCCTTTAAAAAACACTGAAGATTCCTTTTTATGTCTTTGTTTTTCTTTGTGATTTGGAGCTCATTTAAAACTGTATGTACGTTCAGGTAAGTGAGCTAAACTTGAAGCTCACCTATTTAATGATTTGTTTTGTCGTTTGAAACTGACTGCACATGGTGTATCCCTGTCTGCCATAGAAAGGAATTATTCCTTACCATGGATTATAGAATTCATCTTAATAGATAGCATGAGATATCTGTGTCATCCACTCTCATTGTCACCACTGGCCAAGAATGTTTTAAAAATCAACAGAATAAGCTAAAAAAAAGCTTACCCACCCAGCTGTTTTCTTCCAGCTGCCCTTCTTAACCATGCCACTCGCATTTAGGACTTAAAGCCCCTCAGCAAAAAGATAGCTGAAGCTACTTTGTGTTTAATTTTACATCAAGCTAACTTTCTGCTGCTAAAATCACAAAACTCAGGAGATCCTGTGAAAAAAATGTTATAAGTAGCCTGTTGCAGATTTTTATATTCATTGATTTTTATTTTTTGAATCTTCCTGGGACACAAGTTTACCTTAATGAAGCAAAAACGTATGTATTTTTCAAACTGCACTTTTGTCTGAGGACCACAGAATGCTGAAAGAGGAATTGCTGAAAGTTTCTGAAGCATAAAACGGAAATATTATTTATTATACACAGATGAAAAACCAGTTTCACACATGACGATTTTACTATCGAATTTCCTAGAACTCTCCCTCCCAACATTCAAGTGAAATACTAGGCTGGATCTTGCACGCAAAGCTACGCTTAACTAAGTTCAAATCACTTTTTTTAGGCAAAACAGTTCAAAGGTACTTGTCTACAACTAGCATTTAAGCGTGCAGAAAGAACAAAAGTTGAGACTTAACACAAACCTACAGAGTACATTTTCAGTACATTCAGCAATATTTTAGTCACATCATTTCCAGCAGTTAGCATAAATAACAAATAATATTTTGAACGTAGTATTTCTACTCCATTATTGCATAAGTACAGTTACACTTCTCTTGCTTCCAGTAGACAAGCATTTCTAAAACTTCAGAGTATGACAAAGACACCTTACCTTAGATGCTATCATCCATTTGACAAATTTATAATCATAAGGTTGATTCTCCTCCACATCAGAGAGATCTACATCTAAAAAAATTAAACAGAGAACAAACAAGATCTTGTAAGACTTCCTAGCCTCCAGTGGCAAGGCATTCACTAACAGCACTTCAGTTAATACTTAAGAATAAAGAGGTATGCTTTTATTATAAAATATAATTAAAAAAAGTTATAAAGATTAAACCAGGCCAACAGATGTACATCTTTCCACTCTGACCTGAGCACTCGCTTTCCATGCAAAGCAAAATCAGAGAAGTAGCTTGGGAGAGAACGATGCAATCCCCCAAGAAGTCATCAAGTCTGGATGACTAAGGGCCCTGGAGTCTGGAGAGTACTGAAGTGTGTCCTTTTTGCACAACATGGACAGCAATAATCACTGCTACTGCTGCAGTTCTCTTATCTGTAAAACTAGGGTATCTATAATTTTCCGACATCCTGGTAGGACTGTGAGGCTCAGCTTTGCTTAAACGTTTCTGTGTGAATGACAAGTGCCATTAAAACCAGTCAGTGAAAGATATCCAACAAAAATCCACAACCCTGATGGAATTCTTCCTCCAGAGGTAGCATAGCCTGAATTTCCAGAGAGATCTGTAAATGTTGGTGAGATTTGACAATGTTTAAAAATCAGAATGCGTTAAAGATAGCTCAGCATTTGACTGCAGCTTAAGGGGAGAAAAAAAAAAAAATAGAAAATGGGTACAAACGCAGGATATTAAGCCAGGTACTTGGCTCGCAAATGTTTCCATAATCAAAGACCTTTCAAAAATAGAAATGTTTTTACTGTTTCCTTTACTTTTCCTATTTGCACATCCCTGAAACCTTGCAAAAGCTTTGCAAGGTTTTGCTGAAGCTTGTAAAATTTACCTCCAGGCTAAGGTCAAACAGAAAATTTCAGTCCCAATTAGTACTTCTGACAATGTTATGAGAAAATGAAATGAGAACATAGTTTAAAATGGGAGTTGCATTTTCATCTTAATATTTGTTTCCCATCCCCCATTTACTAAACCTTTTACTAACTTAATGTAGAAACATCAACAATCATAAAGTATCCTCCATCTGGAATGACAGGCTTCAGTCCAACTTCTCGAAGTAGCTGAGCCATCCGATCACGCTTGCCTTCCAGCTCTCGAGACAGTGAGTAAAAATAGCAGTCTGGGTCATCCATGCGTTTATAGTCTATCCAAAAAGCTTGTGCCAAAGCCTCCTGCAAATACAATGTTCAAAGTACTCATGTACACTCGGTACACCCATGGACACTCAGGCACTTCCTACTGAAATCATGTGGATTTTGCCTTGATCTGGCTCTCATTAAGAAAATCAGCATATTGAAATTAGACAAGCTACATCCAAACGTCTAATTTGTTTGCTTACTTTGTGCTGTGGTAACACCCAAAGCACCCTACCATTTGCCAGGCACTAATCATACACAGAAGTCACAGTCCTTGCCACAGGAGTTTACAGTCTAAATTGAGCTAAGTTTAGTTTTAATTATTGATAATAATATACCACAGAGCACTAGTAAATAAACTGTGATCTAGTTGATAGAGACAATTCTCAGCAACCCAAAACCTTATTGCACTAACCTTTATTTATATTTGCTAGGAAACCACTGGTATTGTCACGTTTCATGCAAGAAGGAGCAGTTTACGGATGAATGAAGAAGCAAGACTCTGGTCTTTTTTCTAAATGTTTGGTCAAATTTGTGTCCTCTTCCAGTACCCCAAAGTATGTATTTTGACAACTCAAAATTCATTGCTATGGTCAGTATTTTATCATGGTAATACCTACAGGTTTATGCCAGGTGCTATATGTAAATAACCTCCTCCGCTCTATCTGTACCTACCTGTAATGGAGTTGGGCAAGTATACAGTGTATTTTGCTGAACAACTTGCAAATGCTTTATCAGATGCTGGGGGCCAATAGACCAACCAAGCTAAGGGAGAAAACATGCGTATGTTATACTTGCAGCAATGGTGTTACTAGGAATTAACAAAGAATAAAAGTTAGCAAATGTCTCAGTGTTTTCTATTTTAAGAATTGGTAGTCAATTTGTTTCAATAAAGAATTCAGTTAAGAGCTGGTTTACACAAAGGATGCTGAGTGATACCACTAAGAAATTCTAGACGGGAGACAACAGCTACAATTTCACTCATCCTCATCTCTCAAAGGGTACTGAGCAAACACATAACTCTCTTTTATAACAAGGGCTAGAAACCCAACCAAGCACCAAGCATTAGGAATATTGTCCCCAATTATTTCAGAATCCTTTCATCTCATAGGCTCACGGGCCAAAGTTGGTCTGAGCACAAACTAAAAGCTCCTCGCTGAATCAAACAGAATTTAAACTAAATGCAAATCATACACAGTACATCATGGTTCAGTCTGAACACAGATGAAGAACAAGAATTTAGCAGCCAAATGGTTAAACAGTTATGTTTACTTTCTAATATGTATTCTAAAGTCAAGTAAATTATTATTAAAGATTTTGCAAAGATTTACCCCATCCCAAAATGTAGCATTATAATTTATCATATGTTCAGTTTTTGTGGAATAAAATACTTGAGCGTACAATAACGGTCTGTTACAAAGCTAACTGACTGATTTATGGAAATAATCAGATAGTTATTTTAATAACATCACTAAAATAACCATTATCACAATCTGGAAATATCATCACAAAACTGCAAAGTTAAAATATGATAATATCCATGTCTTCTCCAAGAATCTTGACTGTTTTTGAACAAATCATATGGTGTTGATACTTTTTCATATTTTTTCTCACAAGATAGAGCAATAAGAACAGCATTAAAATATGGATGTTCAAGACAAGACTGTTGTTCCAACAGAGCATTATCTGCAGTTTTTGGAGACACACAAATTTACCAGAAGCTTTCAAAAGACAGGCCACAAAAAGCAGTGACTTTTTAAGTGTGATAAATGCATTCTGTTATTTACATAACAGAACTCTTACCGTTCATTCTTCTTACCTTCCAGCCAGTTACACTATATGTTTTTCCAGCACTTCCTATAGTTATTGTTCTTTCCCACATACCCGGCAAAGTAGCTGTACATAAAGTAAAATCAATTGGTTACAGGTGTACTCACTATTCCATATAATTAGAAATACTGTACTGCCCCTAAGATCTACAATATCCTGATATATCACTGCCACATATTTAGAAAGCAATGAGAATAATTCTAAAATTGTAACTGTAATAAACGAGAAGGAATATATGGGCCAACGTATTTTGGCATGAAAATAAGGTGAGAATTAACAAAAGGAGAATGAAGAGGTAGAAAATAAGAAAAGGCACAGTCAGTGAAAACTACATGGTAGTTATCCTCAGCTAAGACATGTAATTTTTCATAAGAAAGATACGATCTCAGAAGCAGCTACCCTTCATCGCAATACAGCTGTTATTTCTGATGCCTGATAATAAGCACCACATACAACATTAACTCAGTTTCTGCCAGCCAGTTTAATAGAATTGTCCAGCAAACAATTCAGCGTCACTGGATGTTTCAGAAATTAGAAAGAGAAAAGAATTACTAAGATCTCTAACGCAGAACCTAATGCCACAACAAACAGAAAACCTGCAGAGAGAACAAAGATATTAAGTTTTGTAATATAACTTGAACGGGCCTGGGATTTTCAAGCAATAAAAGCTAGCTACAAACCTCTGCAAGGACTGAAGGTTGCATGGAGGCCTATCTCTGTCTCTGTGTTTGTATCTGCTAGTAAACCAAAAACCTTTGTTTCCTTGCAAGGAAGATGACAGAGTAAAGGTCTCTTCCAGCAGTTGTAGTTTTTTCTGTATGCTGCCTCAGGGGAGCTCTGGTTGGACTCTTAAACATTAATCTGTTTCTGCTGAAAATGAATTATCTAGCTACACTGAAGTCCGAGACACAAAGTTAGACAAGGTCATAAAGTTACAGCAATAGCAGCGGTCAACACCACTCAGCTTTACCACATTTGAACACTAGAACCGTTACTAATGAATTTCTCGATTGTTAAATCCTCTCTCTAGGGAGAGCACAGGACAAAGGTATTCCAGATGAAAACACTAAATTTCACGAGGAAGTTTTTATAGCAGCTATCTGCATTAGACATGGTATAAATCATTGCACTTATTTGAAAACATGTATTGTATTTTGTCGAGCACACTTGCCAAGATATGAAATAAAACATTTAGCAGAAAAGAGACTCATATTCCTCTTAGACCACCCATATTCACTCAACTGCCTGGTGACCTGGAAAACAAAAAGATACTTTGAGAAGATGCATCTTCTAGTTAGCTAAGTCAAGAGTATTTATACATGACTTCCTAAAGGCAACCAAAGTAGCTCTCACAGACTGCAAAAAGAGTCAAATTTCAAAGTGACTGCCCTCTATCAAGACTGTTTTGCCACACAGTCACAGGAATTCAACCTTGGAGACAGAACGCAAGAGTATTTCAAACAATAGCAGCAGCAGCAGCACGGTGCACGGGAAGAAGCAGCTCCATTGCTTTTACAAGCATTGAGTTTTAAACAGAGAAGGAAATTCTTCCACACCATATGGCAGCATCATTATATGACAACGTAATCAAGTTTGACTAGAATTTAAAAACTAACAAAACCTGTTAACATACAAGCCTGTTAGCCGGGCTGCTGCTCAGCTTGTTTGGATGCTTGTTCAGAATCCTCGGGTATAATATGGGATCTCTAAATATGCCAGTGCAACTCTAATCATTACTTAGAGGAGGCTCACAGTTTTACAGAAGTCAAATAATGATGAGACACATGATGAAGCATTTTACACTAGACAAAATTACCTCTGTGACAGCACAAAGACTATGCTGATTTTATGATCTGCAACCCCTGCTAAATTGTATTGAAGCATTACCATCGCACCCCACAAATTGATGCAATATCCATTTCGCATCTCTCACAAAAGAGGTATCACTGCATTGGATGGACTATATAAAGGTTAATATGGAAACATTAGAGCTTCTAAATCATGAAATAATATGTTCACTTTTTCTTGTGCTACCTTCATGTAAGCTTATAAAATCTAAGAAACTTAACTTAAAAAGTAGGTCTTGTTTCTTTTACTGAAATAGTATTATTGTTTATAGTTTTACCCTGAAAGTTTTACAGTTATTTTAATAATGTAATAATATTTTAATAATAATTTTAAAATGATTTCATGTGATTTATTAGAAAGTATGTTCCTAAACCCAGCTGCCTAACTGTCCAAGCTTTAACTTGCACTATCATCACAAGTGTTTGTTACATTTTATGCTAAACTACAGAATGCCTGTTGCTCAACTGGAAGTGTTTTGATTTGAAGCATTAAAACAATAATATTGATATTAAGATATAGTAACTCTCTTGTTCCTTAAGAACTCACCACCTCTCCACTGAGATGAAGTGTAACTGACAACGCAAGTGTTCAGACCTGCTCCCATTGCAAAGGAAAACGGATTTCCTTAAACCCGCAGAGATTTTGGTTCTGAGGATAGCTATTTGCATGAACCACCTGTAAAGCCCATGAAGAAAGCTTAAAGCTAACTCATTTCTCTTTATAATTGGAATAGGCTAGGGCACACAATCAGTTACTGTGGTAACTTTTTCGGATGGACTGACTCAGATCACTGTCACATGAATGTACACCCCTTTCCTCCATGTCTGAAGGTCTTCTGGAAGGTATTGCTACCGAGCCACCACAACGTCTGTGAAATTAGGGCACTTTTAAACAGACTTATAGTCTACACATCGCCAGTACAATCAACGTACTGCAGCTGTATGATCAGCAACCATGTAGCTGACTGAATAAGTATTGCAAGGCCATTTAGATACAATTTGCTTATTATTATTTATAAGAAAGAGTTTTTACAGTGACATTTTCACTGTAGCCCTCACTAATGAAGAGCTTCTTTTATTGTCATTTTAGAGATAGGGAGCTGAAGTAGAGAAACAAACTTATTCAGCAATAGATCAGTGGCACAGCCAGGAAAGAAAGCTAAGCTCTTTCATGTCTAAGTTATATTTATGCCTTTTGATTTCTTTGTTTATTCTCAGCTAGATGGCTCTGTTGCATACTGCTGAAATCTGCTTTCATTACAACCACAAGTACTTCTTAGAGTTAGTTCCTGCAAGATGATACCTTCAGAAGTGAAATGTCTGTACATATAAGAAAGAAGTCTCACACTTTAGTCAGGTCGAATACATCAACAGATCCCATCTAAGACCCCAACCCCAGAAACTTTTACACATATGCTTAACTGTAGCATATGTACCTACACTAACACTGCTCATGTTTACAGGAGTGGGGAAGGAAGGTACGTAACCTGCGCTGGATCCGCCCTTCTGGATCATTGGGAATAATTCCATTAACTGCAGCGGAACCTGGATAAGGCACTAAGAGGTAAAACACCACTAGGGTCACTGACATGACAGCATGTTTGGTCTTCTGGCTTGTCCTTGCCACGGTGCTTTACCCTGACAGCAATACCGCCCGAAGACTTTAGAATACTTTCACATCGCCCACACAGGGCCTTCATCAAATGCAACATCCATTGTTTTAACACTGTCTCTACACTTTGGACAGACAGTGTTAGTACACACTATCCCTCCACAATCTTTTGCTTTATATCTCTTGATTTTTTAAGTAGTGGAGCAAAAATCATGGAGTTCCTCTTTATACATTTCCCTCATTGATTACCTCTAGGTTTAATTCCTGTTGCTTTTATTAGTTCTGCAGCAAAGCACAGTCCAGTATACATACATGAACAGCAGTTGAACTTGTCATGGCAACAAAGTAACTGAATAAGGATGGAATATCCAAATGATCATAAATGATTTATGAGTATCAGTCTCACTTGTTTCTATGGATGTGTGCTCCTAAGCCACTTTAGAGCTTTTCGAAATTCTATCCTTACTCTTTAACATATTCTTGAGAAGAGGGAGAGGCTCTTCTTAGAGCCGAATCATTTTAAAACAGACAAAAGTTTGAAGTTTGAACTTCTCGCACCAACCGTTATCTCTGAGAGGCATGTTTATGACACCATTCCACATCCACCTCCAAGACGCTACAAAAAATCAGTACCTATTTTAATGTGTTTATTTCCTTTGTACACCAGCCATTCATACACCTCGTCACTGATGCACAGGGTATCATGTTTAATACAGAGATCAGCTATCACCTGGAGCTCTTCTCTGGTAAATACCTGGGATGCAAGAAAGTAAGGGTCAATGCATTAATCACGGTATTCAAAGTATACTCTGAAATTACAGCCAAGTTAAAGTAGGACTCTTACCTTGCCTATAGGGTTGTGCGGGGTATTCAGAATAATCGCTTTTGTTTTGGAATTAAATTTATTTGCAAGCTCAGTGGAATCTAAGACCCAATCAGCACTAGATCCGGAGTTTCCATCATTTTTCTAAAATAAGAATAAGCATATGAATTACTTGAATACCACACATTATCATAATCTAAACAGAGATGCCCAACTTATGATCCTCAGATCCTGTCCCCTAACCATATGTGCTAACTTCTCCAACCTGCCCTGCTATCCCAGAAGGAGCTTCCAGCTAAGAACAAGATGAATTGTTATGACAGTAGCAGTCCTCTCTTGGCTTGTCTGTCTTAGGGCCTCCCCAGGGACAGATAAGGATATCCTCACGCTATTTCGCACATACACAGTGAGTAGACCGGTTTCCAGGATCTGGTTACACACACGCTGACCACATAGCATGTAACGCATGAAGTCCAGTCAGATGACAATACAGTATATGGACTCCCCAGACACTAGAAAAGTGTGTGCTTGCTTGGCTGGAAGGATTGATCATCACTGGACCAGAACTTCAGGTCTACCTCTCCTCCTTGTCCAGAAGGGAATGACCAAAGAGTTAAAAATCTGTGCCGTTCAGGCTCTGCAGTTTCTGCAGCGTCACATGAGGATGACAGAAGTTTGGGTCAGTTACTGCAGAGAGCAAAGACCATGGCCATACTAACTTTCTGACACCTGCATGTTACTGGGAGGGGGCAAGACCAAAAACAAGGGTGTGAAACAAAAAATACATGAAGGAACCCATCACATTCAAAGCAATCCTAGGAGGAGGGCACCCAGAAGAACAGCCTCACCTACTCCCACCGCACTCCTGGAGGCTTGCTGATTGCATGTTCTTCTGATTTCATCGTGTCGGTGCAACAGTCCAACCCAAAGAGCCCCTCAGCCTGGGAGCAAGGCTGCCAGTCGGCCAAGCCAGCAGTATCAACACGCTGCATCCAGAACAACCTCTGCAAGCTTCCAGCATGATGTCAGTGGTACACCAAGCAAGGGGATGGTGTCAGCTCTGCCTCCCCTCTTAGCCAGTGTGCCAGCACAGTGGCTTCATCAGCACGGCAGGGCAACATATACTTGCTCTGATCCCGCTTTCTTGGACTGTTCCAAAGAACTGAAGCTTTCTGCACCTTTCACAACAGCCAGCTAACAGATTTATCAGCGACTTCACTCATACCAAAATCATCCCTTTTTACCAATAAACAAACAGTAATTCTAGTATGTACGGCAAATGTCTACTGCATAATTGCTCCTAATTTAAGAAGCAGATTTTAGAAAAGAAATTATATTCTGTCATTGTAAGAGTTGCTGAAGGGAACAGAAATGAAATCTTTTAAAGAACAGCAGATACAGAAATTGCACTGATATGTGATCACCCTTCCCTTATTCGTAATGGAAACGTTTTTCCGATGTATCCAAAAAAGGAATCTTGATCAGCTTTCAGAATGCACAAATTAAAGCAGATGAGAAACAATGCCCTACCTTTTCCAACACTAATAAAATATTCTATCTCTAACACTTTGGGCTATTATCACCTTCGACTCACATGACAGCAATTTATCTCATTTTAATATAGTTGGATATTATGGAAAAATACACAGAATGGTATCTCCTACAAGGTGTTAATAAAACTTTGTTAGGTATAGAAGAGAAGTTTTATAGGATAAATAATTTTTAAAAAGCTACTCACATTTCTCAAAGGGATAAAAACAGGCTTTGCACCCGCCATCTTTACCATTGGTTCATAACAGTCAAAAAATGGTTCTATTATTATTACCTGAAATAACAATCATCAGTATCAGAAACAGAGAAATTGCAGTGCATGATACCAGCACACTTTCAGATTTATTTTGGTGACATAACTTGGTAGCGTTTCTTGCGCTCCATCCTGATCTAACAACCCAAATGTTCTTCTGTTAGTACATCACATAGCAATGCCCTCAGTCTAAGTGTGATTAGTACTACTCGTTTTAGACAACAGATATAGTTCTTCTAGAGTTACACACTACAGCTTTTAGTATATGATATTAGGAGTGGTTGGTCCTACAGGCAGATGCGAAGGGGCAAGGCAAAGATGAATGATAACAATAACAAATGGTTGAACCATAGCAGGCTGCCCTAATTCCATCCATGAAATGCCAGGTAAAAATAAGTATGCACACACTAGGTAGGATGTGCGGTCTTAGTTCTGAGCACATTGGTTCTGTTACGCAGCCTCCAGTATAATTCTTATGCAGTAAAGAAGTGTTCAGGGTGCACTGGCCTATCATGCCCAATGACAGCTGGGCACACTATCTGAGAATGTGCAGCAACCACTAGTCTGGTATTTCCAAGCAGCTACAAGTCCCAGCAGAATGGCTGAAGACCTCAAAGTTTATCAGAAGAAAATTTTCAGGTAAGAGAAGAGGACAAATTCAAGGAAAATTTCATAGAGGCTAGCCCTATGTAACAGGGAAAAAACACAAAAAAAAACAAAGGCCAATAGGAGACAACCATAAAAAAAAAAAGAGAGAAGTGAATATCAGAGTAACAGAGAAGGAAGAGAAGATACACATGAGAATACATTACAAAAGTGAAACCAGTAAAACACTGAAAGCAGAATGTGATAAAAGAGAAAGCTCTTGTCCACTGCAGACAAAGAAATATCCCCCCAAAATGACTTTTCATATCTTTAGCAGAGGCAGAGATCAGCAGCGAAGGGATGAATCATCACAGTTAACACAGAAAAGCGTTGTGTCACCAAACAGTAAGAGTGATATAGAAACTGCTACACGTATCATAAGTATGAAGGAAAGAGGTTTGTAAGCTGGTGAATGGTAGGGAAGACATCCAAAGTCTCCCGACTACAGGTTCTGAAACTGCAAGACAGCCATGCAGAGGTCTGAATTACTTACTGCAACAAGTCAAATCAATGGAGTTCAAAAAGCAGTCCCAACATAACTGCACATGAAAAAATAAGAAAATTCTCATTTCAGTGAGTATAAGCAAATATTTCTAATGAAAAACTTACTTCGTCTCCCTCTTCAATTAACGCCTGCACTGTACTAAAGAGAGATCCATATCCTCCCACTGTCACCAAGATATCTGTGAGAGGGTCAATCTTTCTTCCACAAACTCTCTCGTACACCTGAGACAAGGCTTTCACCAGCAATGGATGTCCCTGTTCAAAGCAAAGAAATGCAACTGCATTGGCGAGTTCCTTTTTAGAAAAGCCGCCACGGGTTACAGACAATGTGTAAGGCCCATGTTTGACTTTTTTCGCATGCATCAAAATAACACATTTTAAAATAGAAAAATACAAGATGGGCCTTCAGTGTTAATAGGTTTTAGGTAGCGTGCTTTAAAGAAGATTTTGCACATTGCGGAATCAAAATGAGTTCAATTTTATCACTTCTCCTAGGCAATTCTTTGTAAATCTGAGGCTTTTGAACTTCTACCTTATCATCACATTTCAGGACAGCTCCAGGCAGCCTAAAGAAGAGCTGGTACAAGAGAGAGAAGGAAAGAAGAGAACGCTTTTATACCACTTCATCCTCACCCTCCTTAAGAGTCTCTTTCCTGTCTGCCCATGTCTCTCTCTGAAGCTGTTTCTGTTTATTTCCCTATCTTTCAACTAAAAATTCTTTGGCACAAGGGAAAGCTTTTAATTCTGTTTACATACTGCTGATACACGGCACTTAGGAGCAGAATGATAATTCAAATAATGATATCCCAAATCTCAAGAGCACCATTCACCATGTGTCCCCCCCTACAGGATCACAAAGGTTAGCGTATTCTTTCCAAAGTATGCAAAGAACAAGCAAACACACACGAAATAAAGCTCACATACAATATGGGAATATGAAGGCACAGCTCTGTTTACTCAGGAAAACTACAGGTTTCCTGTTGCGAATTTTTTTTCTTTTTTTTGGATACTTGGTAGAAAGAGAGAAAACAGTTCAATGAGAAAAATGCAGCTCTAACAAAAATCCTTCTCTAAAATATTGAACACATATGGCATAAAATTATGACTCCTTCTGTAAACAAAACCATTACCATCAATTAAAGCTTGTAAATCACTGTTGATTCATATAACAGCCACTTTTTGCTATGAGTGCGTCAACTACACAGGAATGCTACACCACACATGCACCACCATGTGAGGTCACTCTACAGACCATAGCCCTACAGTCAATGAGACGTCTAAGGGTCACAGAGGGTTGAGACAATGTCTCAATTATCAGGTGGATGTGCATCACTCATATTCATCCCACCCATATTTGCTATCCATAAATGTTGTGCTCAAAAACTTTACTCGTGCAGAAGGTTCAGAGGAAGTTCAATAGCTGAAAATGCAAATACAGGTAAAAACCCCTCTTTAATTTCTATCAACAGCATAACATTTCTGCAATTGCTCATAATTATCATGAGAATTACCAAGCTATTCAGGACTAAGGAACAAAGTGACAGAAAAATTGAGTAATTGCATGCATCGGCAAAATTATACTTATGCCTGAATTGCAAAATTTTGGAGCGGAATCAGCGTATGAATATTTGCTGGAAGAGACCACAGCCAATGCTCTCTGTAACCTCTCTCCCTGTACCAAAACTTCTCCGTAACATTCCCCAGACTTCTGAGGAAATTGCTGAGATGTGAGAAAGAGCTATGAGAAACTCTCCAAAAAGATAAGAAAGGTAAAATTACAGACAGACATACGACTATTGAGGTGAGGCTTGTTAGTAAGTCAAGGATCCAAGAGGAAAAACTCAACACAGAAAGGAATAAAACCCTAAAGGAAAAAAACAGTCAGCATCATCAGTTTCTGGGGATCATCATTCACACTTTCTGGGGATGAGGGCAAATCAGCAACACAGGACCCCTTCCAGGGAAGGGAGAGGTGGAGACTCACTCTTCTCAGTGATGCCTGCCCGACCAGCAAAGACTTTTCAGGTGTCTTACTGGGGGTGGTGAACATACTAATGTTTAGTCTAGAAGTTCGTTAAACCCCAGCTATCTTTCGTGTATGTGTCAGCCATTAAACAACTGCTTTATACTTTCAAGTTATACATGTATCCTTCTTGTAGAGGAGCTACGGGTACAGCTAAAGGTGCACAAACAAAGTGACCCAAAGTGGGATGGTAATAAATGGGGATTTTTTTCTCCCCTCTTGTCAGGGTCCTGAGTGCACTAACAGGCCTTTCTGGCCCTGACCAGCGTCACTAGGGGCCTCCACCCGTCCCTGCCCACAGGCCCAAGGGCCCCGTTTCCGCTCAGCTCGGGCCCGTCATTCCTTGCCTGAGCTAGGCTGAGGGAGTGCTGGTCTCCAGCTTGCCTGTGCTGATCCAGACCTTGACCTGTGGACTGACTCCCGGGCTTGCCCTTGGACCTGCCTTGTCACCATGAATCTGCCTGGTGATCACTGCGGTGCGTCTGACCTTGGTTGCTGTCACCAGGCCTCATCCTGCAGATTGACTTCCTGGCTTGACCTCAGACCCACCTCATCACCATAAACTTGCCTGGGCTGATCTCAGCTGCCATCTCTGGGCCTGCCCTGCTTGCCTTGCTTCAGTGCTGCGGGACTAGGCCTTGGCTGATGAGGCCCCTGCCCTGCCAGCTATGTTAGTGTGTGTGGCTCCCTGTGCCTTCGGGTGCTGCTGGCCCTCGCTGCTCCCTGTCAGTTCTCATGCATGCAAATTCTCAGAGAACAGGCAAAAAGCTATGACAAAATATACAAACAACGACTCCACAACTACCTACCCAGTTACAGGCTTACCAGCTCTACACATTGCTTTCCTACTCGTCGTTGCATTACACAGCCCTCTAGAAAAATACTAGATCTAAACTGTAAACAGACTCCCTAGGAGCTAGTAGCAATCCTGATACATTCATTCTCCGTTGGGCAACATAGTTTATCTTTACCACAAAATTTGAGAAAGATAAACCAAATGAAACAAGGAAGTGGTCATACTAAAAAAAGAGCAATAGTCCACTTTAATGCCCTGCCTTGGGGAATGATAAATGCCACATGCTCATACCCAGCTCAAGAGGTAAATTCCACATGTCAGCTTGTACATTGGATAGCAACTATCCTCCAGAGCATAAACTTACTGCTTTAATTACTTCCTAATCCCCATTGAAACCTACTGAATGTTATGGGTGAACCTCTTCCTGATTCTAGAGGTGCTATCTCAGCTGACATCAAGTATGTCTTTCTCATTGTACTATGATCCTATAGATTCATGTTTATACTGAGCAAAATCAGAGGTAAATGTATAATTTATATTGTTTGTCCTGTGAATACTCGGTATGAATCTTCTACGACAATCTACTCCACATGCACACTACCACATTGATCTTGCTGAAGGATTCTGCCTTAAAGAACCCTGCACAGAGGATGTTGGTTAGTAGCTGATAAATCTACCAGAGAAACTAAATTTCAGATGTAAGAGTATGAACTATGGATATAACCAATCGAAAGCAAAGTCTTAGATTTTTCTACATGGTAAAACTTCCACTGAACTTGTGTCCCCAAGTTCCACAGTACTTACAAAACCCCGTGTGTACTGGTTCAGTTTGTCAACTGCTGCTGCCTTTGCCAGCTCTTCTTTAACATAGCTGGGAGGGGATATATCAGGAAGGCCTTGACCAAGATTAACAATTGAGGGATCTGCTGCCACCTTTGTAAATTCAACCCTAAAAGAAAAAAAAAAAAAAGTTCTAAATTTGACATACAACATAAAATTGTCTTTTCCATGATCAGCATTAAAAGGCAAAAAAAAGTGTTTCAGATTGCCAAATTCAGAGCAGGGGAAAGAGCTTCAAGTAAACAGTGCTTAGACCGAGAAGTGGGGGCTGGGACAACGTTAAGTAATCACAGGAGACGGAGAGAACCTAATAAAGGTTTATTTTCTGCATTCACACAGTAACTTTCTTTCCAGCAAAGCTGTATTCAGATGGGCACACGCACAAACATACAGTAAGCCTGGATATGAGCAGAAACAAAACACTATCCTCTTCACAAAATGAGGTAGACCTAATTAGAACAGGTGCATTAAATGATTTAAAGCCTAGATTCTGTCAAATGAAGGTGTTATTTAAACTATCCAGTCATCTCAGAGCGTTGTAAATTTTTTTGTGCGTGATTTTAGGCAATGGACTGCTTCAGGCTGTCCATTAACTGTTCCTAGTACCCTGCCAAAAACTAACTTTAGAATTCTTGAACGATTTTTTTTTCCTTCTTTCATGGGTAAGCTTTGCATTTTACCCTTTCCTCAATGCCTAAACGTCAACAAGATTTACAAAAACAAAAAAAAAAAACAAAAAAAACCAGCGTCACAACTCTGTAAAATAAATAGAAATTGCAAAAAATGAGTCCAAGGTAGGATGACCAAAGCACCTTGTCTATGTGTTACACACACGTACATACAACTAGTGTGTGTATATAAACACATGCACAACTATCGCAAGCCCAACACGGTGCTGTTATCAACTAACAAAATCCCATTTTTGTCAGTGACAGATTTAATACAGATTTGAGACTAATCTACTATGTAGGAAAAGATATATTAAAAATAATGGGCCGTATTCTAAAGACAAGTATATGGTTAAAAAAAGTCTTATTCATCTTTTGAAAAAAGAATAAATAAAATACATTGTTTAACAAAATTAATATTTAAATTTGAAAGCCTGCTGTAGCACCATGCCCAAGAGTTACACTTGTCTTATGTGGTTTACTAGATATCCAGAAGCCTAAGTCTCATGGTTAAAGCTCCAGAAGAAGAAATCACAGCTTTAACAGAACTTGATTCATTGCTTCTATTCTTTAAGCAGGTGCCAAATATACTTCAGCAGAGACAGCGAGTCCTATATACACCTGTGTGGCAATAATTATCATTTCAAAAATAAAATATATGAGCCAAAGACATTTTCTGAAATTCACAGATATTTTTCTTTTACTTACCACACATTGCTATCAAGGCCTTCAATTCGTCTTGTGTTTTTGTGTTTGAAGGCCATTGTCTGCAAGATCAAAATATATAGACAGAAGGGTTTTGTTAAGAAGGACAAAGTGCTATATTGTTGGATTCTGCATGACAAACTCTCCTTCATGCTTTTTCAAATATACCACTGCCAGCTGAATTCAGCAGTTACACAAAATTATAGACATGGTCTTTCATCAAAGCTTCTATAATAGCTTGAATTCAGACTAACATGAAAACAAACAAGAATGGCCTAAATTCTCATTCATCATTATCTAAACCCACTGAACTTTGAATAAGGTTGAAGCAGTGGCATAATTTAGCTCAAAAGCGTTAAAAGATGACCTAGAAAGAAAAAAAAAAACATGGTTTGTACGTTTTTTTTCTTTTTTATGATACACTAAAGACTTAAAGATTGAGTTATTTCTGGCCCAACTCCTGCCCAATCAAGGTTGGAAAGCCTGTTTTATATATAATTATATTTGTAAAATTGATGAGCAGCTGGAAAATAGGAAAGGTATTTCATTAAAACTTTCATTAAAACTTCTAAATATTTATTAGCAACACAGTAAAATCACATTAGAACCTAAGTTTTGCTACATATTCAGTTCTTCAACTAAGGTGAACTGTAATTCTTGACACAGGATGTACACCATGGTTAAGAAGGAGCCCTGACTAGGTAATTTCAACTGCATCTACTCAGAAATGCACATATGGTTTGGAAGATGAATCTAGTGTTGGTATCCTGGTAAATCTGATTAATGTGCGGGTGTACAATACAAAATCAGTAACACAAGCATCACACAGTGAGTCCTCACCGTTTTCACATGCTCAACTACTCATACTACATGGAATGAAAGGTCTTACTCTGAATCTTTGCAGTCAGTAACAAGAATTCTGTACGTGCCTATGGGCAACTCTTCTTGAAACGGTTTTAATTTGATAAAAGCTAAAGGCTTATCAACGGCAGGACTTTTATCGCTAAACATAAGGTAAATCTTAACTGTTTTAAGCAATTCTCCCTAGCTAAAATGTATTGACCAATAAAATAAGCCTTTGCCTAAGGAAGCTTTCGTATCATTTTAAGTTAGTTTTTAATGATTCAAGCCTTTTTGTTTACTTTTTCTTGTGTCTTGAAACTAGTTATGGAACACAATCGCTGGAGCTGTGCTAGTTTTCAGGCTTTCAGAGATTCAGCTTAATGTGAGGTTCAGGTCCAGCTCATTCCTTTACTTCGAAAAAGTCAACCAATTAGCTGACATTTTTAAATCATTTCTTAAGTAGAATTCTTTCTTCTAGAAGGTCATGAGAATTCTTAGGATTCTCTTTTTGTTTTAGTCTAGTTATGCAATCACTTGACAATCTTCAAGCCATTTTTAGGTACGGGCTAGGATCTTGATCAGTTTAAGCACGTGAGGCATTTCCCCATCAAGCTCTAGCTCTGTGACCTTCTGCCTTCCCTGACATTGATCACTTTAGGCAGAAAGTCAGGTGCTGCTCCTATTTATCTTTCTTCATAATACAAAGAAACTTGTGGTCAAAGCGAATGGCAGTTTAATACCGACAGAAGCAAATACTTTTACATTTTGCATAATTAAACTGTAAAATTCAATGGCAAAAGCTACAATTGAAGCCAAGAGTTTAATAGAATTAAAAAAATAAAAACAAAAACAGAAAAAAAGGATTAGATATTGTCAGCTTGGTCAGTGAAAACATCCAACTACATTAAATAGATCACAAATACTTATGGCATATGAAAAACTAAGGCAGGCAAAACCTGACCTCGAAACTGGCTTGCATGTTAAAAGAAAACATCTCGTACCAGCAACCTAGGCTCTTCCTGTCCAGTGTAAAGGTTTGAACACCTGTTCCAGAGGATCTGACACATGCCTTGGTTGACACAGGTTTTTGACTAAGTGAACTCTTGTTCTGACTTGGGAACACAATTTATATTCCAAAGTTCTACATATATCGAAGCGTGTGACCTCCAACCATTCATCATGTTGCAAAGCTCTGCTTTCTTTCAACAAAACTGGAAGACTTAAAATGAAGTTACACAATCTCATAAGCCATTAAGCTGGGAAATTAAGATGAACCTGTATAAAAAAAAGTTTAAGCTCCACCTTTAAAGATTGAAAGGTATACACATAGCAATAATCACCAAATTCCATTGTACTAGTGTGGTTAAATATTTGACTGATCTGAATAACTTATTTTGGTCTTGGTATTAAATGTTTGGATCAATTTAATAAGAAGTAAAGAAAATACAGCTATAGGAAACAATTTTTTGTAGATTTCCTCACATAGGATCAATGAGTCTTAAACTGCCTGGCAAAAATTAACTCAAAACCAAAGTAGGAGCCAACCTAATCTCTATTTACTGGCAACATTACAAAAGTAGCACATCTCTAAAATAAATACTACACGAAATAGTTTAATCTATGAAGTTGACGAAATACTCACTGCAAATGCTGAAAACCTGATGGATTTGGAAGGCAAATCTGTCCGTAGTAACCGTGCTCTAATGCCAGGGCAACAGAAGCTTCGTGAAGCAAAAAGCATGCCTGCATAATAATTAAATAAGTAAACTGAAAAATACTTACAGATCCCAGGAATGAGTTTCCCACGCATCACTAAACAATTTCAAAAGCTCAGATCTTCCTCGTTCTTCCTTTCAATGATTTTCTTTCATTGAAATCAGTTCTAGAAAACTATTACCTTAACATATATCTAAACACAGAGGATGAAACTTTTTAACTGACAGGGCTGCACAATGTTTCTGAGGAAGGTTTCCTCCGTTTGCCAGCACTGATCTTTTCCTTGAATGAAAATAAAGACTAAATGCTATTAAAGGTTGCAGTCTCTTTTAGAATTGGTGTGAAAATGTGTTCATGTAATAAAAATTGCTATCAAAGTTGCCAGTTTAGAAACATTACAAAAAGAGCATAGTGGAAAAAAAAAAACCCACCCATACTTAAAACCAGTTTCCATTTTCAAGTGTTTCAAATCAGGCATTCTAAAACCAAGAACTAAAATCACCAGCCACACTGGAGATGTAGGCCTACCGGCTTTATAAAACTACACTAAGGTTTGCTGCAATGATTTGGCAAACATAAAATCAAGGCAGAAAACCCACATCTAGAAAGGACATTGCATGGAGTAACATATCATTCTCTGACTAGAGAAAATGAGCCCTGTTAATCCATGAGCATAAAATAGAAGAAAGTACTGGTACTTCAGGCAGCTACTTTTCTAATGTCTTTTTAAATGCATGTGTTGGATGACATTGTCAAAATGACTGGCATTCGTAAGAGAAAAGCAATATAACCCAAAGAGCTACATCAGAAACACAGTATGTCTCAGGAATATAATTATTAACTTTGGTTTGCATGGCTTACTCATTAGAGAATAACCCCACTTCCTGTCACCCTAGTCTATACACCTGAAAACAGGAAGAAAACACAACAACTAAAACAACAACAAAAAATGCAGTATTTGTTTTAGAAATAGAGGAATGTAGTAGCCTACAAAAACAATGCAATGCAAGCCTTGCAGACAGAAGTAGAGAAGATAAAAACTAATTTTTTTTCTTTGATATTGAATTCATTAAGAATGGTTTTACTCCAACTATAAACCGTTCTTTACATTCTAAACGTGAGTTCATAAAAAGCTCCACCATTGCTCCTTATTTAAAGACTTTTAATGATGCCTCATCAAATAGGTTAAGTTGTAAAACTAATTTGATTTTGCATTTCTCTTATTCCTGTGCTACAAACTCAGTCTCAACTGAGACTAGGATCTTTTTCACACGGTACTATCCACCAATAAGAGTTCTAGCTAACTCAATTAGACTCTCAAGAACACCCACGTAATCCCACTGTATTAGCAAACTGCAAGTAATTCATTGACACTTCCTTCACAAGGAGAAATACTCCAGTAACTTCCTCAACTCTGCTGGCCGGATAGCTAACAAAATAAATAGCAACTAAATCTTTGACACTAGTCAGTAGGGCTGTTCTTCCAGGGTTAGACCAGAGACGGGCTTACTCTTGTGGCATGCTGCACACATTTGCAGTAGTCATTTCAGGGTGACAAACATGCACAAATTACTCTGATAAGTTGAAAATGAAACAAAAAATTTGCAAACCTTACGTGCAGAACTAACCCTTGCCTTTTGCAAGAAAAATTATTAACATTTGCAAATATTTCTAGTATTAATGCCATGCCACACTGAAAAAGAGCATGGCAATCATAAGGCAACCATACAAAACCACAACCCAACATGAGAAGCAGTAGACCTGTATTACTGTAGAGTGGTCACTCTCTGAAGGTACCTGAACTACCTGAAGCAAAAATTGATATTCATCTTTAACATCACTGAAGTACAGAAATCGTGAAAACTTTTGAGGAACATAATGGAAAAAATATTTTGTTGAATACTATCGACAAGGAAAGCCAAGGCCTCTGGATGTAACATCAGTCCCACCATACTTAACTCTCTTAATGCCACTTTTCATTAGTTCAGACTCAAGAGCGCTCATTGCCAAGACTAGTGTACCCTAGACTGAACAACCTCCTATAAATTAATTCCAAGACCTTTTTCTAAGAATACCTCTTTTCTCTCTTGTAACACTGAATACTTCTACTTAAACTACTCTAGTAACTAAAGGCAATATATCCAGAATAGATCACAGGCTCAAGAGGCTGATTTACTATTACTTTTAGGATGAGTGTGCATTTAATTATTGCTTCTGGACATGTTTTGTCAATGACTTTGCTCTGCATGAGACAGCTTATAATGTCTGTCCTATCATAACTTCTTCTCATCAAGATGAAGAGTTTCTTCCAACACAGTAAAGTTACACAGCAGAAGGCAGCTAGAGAGGTGTTTCAAACCCTGTTCAAATTCTTTTAAAAACTTGTAAGGTTCTTCAAACGCAGGAAATGCACTGGTCTTTTGTGGGGGAATGAAAGAGCACTACACTTTTCTTTCTTGCTCTTTTTCATGTCTTTTCTGTAGCAGATTTGGAACCAGGCACTGGGTTTTTTTTGGCCACGAGTAGTGTCTGCTAAGCTCAGAAATTAACAGTTAGGAATATTTTTCATCTCATTCTAATTTTCAAAGTTCTGAAGCATTCACATACATAGTCAGTCCTTCTGGAATTCATGACTGAACTCCTGCAGAGAAAACAAGAAAGTCAACATGCAAGGGCAAGAAAAGGGACACATGACTACTCTAGTAGCTTCCTTTTTCGTAGGAGAGCGAGAAGGAAGGAAGGCTGTCAGAAAGGTAAACATGACTAAAGGTTTTCAGTGGGCTGGGTGGAATACGCATGTTTTTAATTCTAGCTGGTAATCCAGTTTAAGAGTCTATGTTCAGGAGTACTGGAGATGTGGTAAATTAAATTAGACTAGAAGATATAGGAAGACTTTGTGATGGGCACTCTCTGGACACGTCTGTGTATGAGCAATCATTTTGTTCATACAGTGCTTTATAACTGCTGCAAAATAGACAAAACCTCTCAGATGCAATCACTAGAAACACTGTAAGTCATTCAGCCTGCACAATAACGCCTATTTAATCACTGTTATACCTCTGTTATATTTAATATTTGTTGGACATGCAAACTCAGAAGCACGTCATGTCTCAGCTCAACTTCAAGAAATCTTTGAAAGCCTGTAAGCCTGTACCTTCATATGCACGTGCCTAGAGGATGAAAGCTTTGCAGAAAGAAAGGGCACCATCTTACTGAGTCCTCTCCAACACTTTTTTCTACCATGTAAAGGCAACAACTCACTAGTCAAGCCAAGGGAACTGCTGCTAATACCTGACTCATACTCAAAGCATCCTTAAAGAATCCTGCTGTTACCTTAAAAGCTAGCGTATGTGAAGGACCTGTCAGCCTAGACAACATTTTGTCATTTCCTCTTCCATAGCCTGCATGGAACAGAGAAAACTGACCACGAAGAAGTAAATGTTTTACAATACGGACTGAGGAGAGGGCCCAGCTCGTGAGTTTTTTGCCTTTTTTTTTTCCTCCTCTAACATCTTTGGCATTTAGCCACTTCATACTGCACTTTTTAGGCTTTCACTGACAACCGCCTACTAACGTGTATTTTCCACTCGAAGCACTCCGAGTTCGCAGCACAAAGCTCGAGAGCCCGGAAGCTGCCGGGCACCAGCCGCCCTTCCGC